GCGCCCGCCGAGCCGCTGTGGAGCCGCCGGGCGGCCGCGGCCCCGGGGCTCCTGGGCGCGCAGAGCGGTAAGGGAGAGAGCCCGGCCAGAGAGTCCTCTCTGATTGGAGTCCCTTGTTGAGAGCGGGTGTGAAAACAAACCGAGCCAACCTGGGAGAGGTGGGTGTGCCGCGAGGGCCGGGGGACCAAGTGAGACCGGCGCCCCGGTGCGCTCTGGGTGGCTCATGGGTCCCAGGAGGTGTCTGTGGCAGAGGAGGACTTGCAGGTGCGTCCAGTCTGGGTCCCCTGCCACCGGGTGCTACCGCTGGCCCTTGGCATGGTGGAATGTGAGACCAGGACGGAGAGGCCCCTTCCTCACTCTCTGGTACATGCAGAACTGAGCCTGGGGAGGGGCGGAGAGTGCTCATGTTTCTAGCTTCCAGGTGGGCTTGAGTCGTCACCTCTAGCTGCTTCTGCACATGAGCAGAGGGACTGCTTGTGAACCCGATCGCTCAATGGTGGTAGCTATTCTTTGAGACAGCCTGTGGAGGGGAAGCAGGCTAAGAGGCTGGCCCAGGCCAGGGCCATCTGGAGCTGGCTGGAGGATGTCCATTACAATGCAAAGAGTAAAGAAAGTGGGTCCGGCGGTGGGGCTGGAGGGGGCTCTGGGGAGCTGGAGGCTTCCCTTCCCCAAGACACTGCCAAAGGCAAGCCAGAGCTGAGAACGGCCTGGACCAGAGTTCAGGCAGCCCAGGAGGCGGCTCTCCGGGGAAAGAAAGAGTGGTGGCCTCCCACCAAGGAGGAGCTTGGGGAGGAGGGCCAGTTGGGCAGGATAGGTAGCTCCCCATTCAACCTGCCCCTCACAGAACAAGGCCGGGTGAGGGCTCCTCCCTCTTCACCCCGCCTAGGAATGTGGTGGGTGGCCCCACCCTGTGAGGGTGAGCTGTTCCTACTCGCTGGCTGTGGGAGGCTGGCCCCCCTGCCCAGCTGCCAGGTGCCCGGCCCAGTTTGGGTCTGAGCTGAGAACTACTGGAGAGGCCTCTCACCTGGGCCCTGGTGGGACCAGGCCCAGGTGTGGCTCAAGGTGGGAACTGCTTACCTTGCTGGAGCAGTAAGAGGAGGAGGGACACGGGTCCAGGCCAGGAGAACTGGGCCCACACCTCTCAGAGTCCTCTCCCTGAGGACCATCATTGCTCCAGTCCTCTCCGGAAGCATTTTCCTGCCGCTGTCTAGAGAATTAGGGGTGAGGGTTGGGGTCCCATCAGGACCGTGCTGTTTTCTGGCCTCGGCTCAGGCAGGGGCAGCATAGGAGACAGCTGGTGGTGGATGGCCCGGGTGTGCGTGCCGCCTCAGTCTGATGGGTGGCCTTCTCTCCTGCAGACTCCTTTGTGAACAGCCAGGAGTGGACCCTGAGCCGCTCGGTTCCGGAGCTTAAAGTGGTGAGTGAGATCTGGGCGGGGGGGCCCAGGCAGCCCTGGGACGGGGTGGGCACGGGCTAGCCTGATGGGCTTCCCCCGCTTCCAGTCCCCTCCTTCTCGGGTCTTGGCCTCTCTCCGCGGCCCCTCACTTCAGTTCAGCTTCCTTTTCTGGTCCTTAGCTCTGGTCCTTCTTAGGGTCATCTCTCTTCCCTGCCCCTGACCATTGCTCTCACCCCTTCTTCTCCCACAGGGCATTGTGGGGAACCTGTCTAGCGGGAAGTCGGCCCTGGTGCACCGCTATCTGACAGGGACCTATGTCCAGGAGGAGTCCCCTGAAGGTGAGCATCACGGGCTTGCCTGGGCTCTGAGGCTGGCCACTCTGCCCCCTCTCTCTCCTGGCTGTCGTCTGTGCCGGGGGGCTGGAGCCCCTCGTCCTTCCGAGTCCTCCTGTCTTCTCTGTTGGTAGCGCTGGATTTCAGAACTGCTTGGCCCCGGGGGCTCTCCCAGCTTGGGGCCTGATCGTGCACTCTGTCCTAGGGGGTCGGTTTAAGAAGGAGATTGTGGTGGATGGCCAAAGTTACCTGCTTCTGATCCGAGATGAAGGAGGCCCCCCCGAGCTCCAGGTGATGCTCCTGCCCCAGCCCTGGCCCGTGGCGCCCCTTTCCCAAGGATCTGGTTGGGACGGGGCAAAGCTGTGTGTGTGCAGAGGGATGTGGAGCTGGCCCGGGAACGGGTGCGGGTGGTAATTCTGCTCGGTCCCCCCAGTTTGCTGCCTGGGTGGACGCGGTGGTGTTCGTGTTCAGCCTGGAGGATGAAATCAGCTTCCAGACCGTGTACAACTACTTCTTGCGGCTCTGCAGCTTCCGTAATGCCAGCGAGGTGCCCATGGTGTTGGTGGGCACACAGGGTGAGCGGGCCCGCGGGGCCGGGGAGGAAGCCACCTGCTCTCCCCTCTCTCCCTTCCTGTGTCGCCCTGGAGCGGGCACCGCCTCCTTGCTCCATGCGCGCTGGATCTTCCCCAGCTGGAGCCTCCCACCGGTGTGACAGTCGTGTCCATGTTTTGGGGGATGGATAAACGGAGCGGCTGGCTCGTGTCCACTCTGAGTCGGTGGGGGCTGGAACGAGGCCTGGACGCCCGTGTGCTCGAGCTCCGCGTTGTCCACTGGCCCGGCTCATGGCCCACGTGTCCTCGGTCCCCACGCCGCCCCCCACCCCCGTCCCCGTGCGTGGCACCGCTTCTCAGCAGGCTGAGTGAAGTCCCACCCTCCCGCCCCCCATAGATGCCATCAGTGCCGCAAACCCACGGGTCATCGACGACAGCAGGGCCCGCAAGCTCTCCACAGACTTGAAGCGCTGCACCTACTATGAGACGTGCGCGACCTACGGGCTCAACGTGGAGCGCGTCTTCCAGGACGGTAACGCGGGCGCGGGGCGGGAGGCTCCCCCCTCTTCCAGGCCGGTAACTCGGGCGCGGTGGCACCCCCCAAATGGGGGCTCAGGAGGCTCTGTGCGCCCTGGGGGGCGGCTCTAAGCTGGGCTTCTCCCTTCCCCCCAGAGGGGTAACTGACTCTGCTGTCCCCTGCAGTGGCCCAGAAGGTCGTGGCCTTGCGCAAGAAGCAGCAGCTGGCCATCGGGCCCTGCAAGTCACTGCCCAACTCCCCCAGCCACTCAGCAGTGTCCGCCGCCTCCATCCCGGCCGTTCACATCAACCAGGTGCGGCCAGCCTCCCCGCCCCCCGCGCGTGTCCTCGCCTCGGCCCTCCTCATCCTGTCTGTCCGCCTGCGTGTCCCCCCTACCCCGGTCTGGTCTCCCGCCTTGTGACTGGTGTGAAAGTGCTGGCTTGCACTCCCCGTTGCCTGCACGACTGGCCTGGCCTCCTCTGAGCCCCACAGTGACCGCCTCCCTGCTCGTCCTGTCCCTGCTGCCGCCCCTCTTGCCCCACAGCCGCGGTAGCGGAGACCGCCCGGAGGCTGGCTCGGGGTGGCGCTCTCGCAGCTGGCCCGGGAGCTGCTCCCCGTGGAACCATACTTGGGGGGCCTGCTCCCTCCTCACCTGCGGGCCCTGCAGTTAGAAGGGCAGCACGGGCCCCACAGGGGCCGCCGGCCTTTGTGCCGTGCGGGGTGTTAGCGGTGTTCTGAGCCAGGTCCTGCCGGCGTTCCTCCCGTGGCACCACCGGGATGCCTGCCCGCTTGCTGCCTACCGCCTGGTTAGTTTCGGCCCTCAGCATTTGGGCCGGTGCTTCCTCCTGTGACTCTTTCCCCGCTCCGTCCCCTGCTCCGCAGAAAGCCCCGGGTCGGCACACACGGGCTGGGTTGAGTGGTCCAGCTGACTGCCTCCACTCTACTTCTGCCAAGGGCTTTAGTCTTGAAGGCCCGCCTGGCCCCCCAGCTTTCTGATGGCGGCCTGGCTGCTTTTCCAGAGCCCCCCTTTAGTGCTTCAGGGGAAAGCAGGCGTTTCCCTGGGAGCATCCCCGCCTGGAATGGAGGAAGAGCGTTAGGTCTTTCTGCCTTAGCCCCGAGCCGCTGTGCGTCAGCTGGCAGAGGTCAGGGGTGGACGTCCCAGCTCGGTGTGTGGGCCCCGCCACGTGGCTCTGAGGCCAAAGGGCAGCCGTTGGGGCATTTTGCTCTTTTTGTGCAGGTGAGGATTCGAGGAGGCTGTCAGAGCAGGACGTGTTCTCTGCTTAGTGAACATCTTAGGGGCAGTTAGGGAGCAGGCCTTGCTGTGCTGTGCGTGTTTCCCGAGTCCTGGAGTAGCCGGGGCTGCCGTGCGCTTTCTGTCTCCATCCTGTGCCCCCTTCCGTCTCTCTTCCCTTCCCACCTCTGTCCCTTACCTGCTGCTTCTTCCGAGAACATCTTTGCTCCGTGCCCCTCTCGGCCTCGGCTCTCCCGTAACCCTGCCCCTGTCACGCACGCTGTCCGGAAGCGGACCTCAGCCTCCCCGGGCACCCTGCGCCCCACCGTGGCCTCCCGCATCTTCGACACATGTCACTGACTGGGGGGCTTGTCCAAGGTGACCTGCTCCCTCATGCCCGACGCCCCTGTGAGGCAGGGCTCCCCCAGCCTCTAGCACTTACCCGGACCCGATTCGCGGGGGCCCTAGTGCGGCAGCCCAGGGCGGTGCTGGCTGGCTCCTGCCGGCCGCCAGGCTGTGCCGCCTTCCTCCTCTGCTGCCCTATGAGCCCCAGGCCAGGTCCCCACACCGCAGGGGTGCCCAGCTCCCGCCTGCTGCCCGCCCCCGGGCCCTGCTCCAGAGCAGCCCTCAGCAGCCCTCTCTGTCCTTAGGCCACGAATGGCTGCAGCAGCGCCTTCAGCGACTACTCCTCCTCAGTCCCCTCCACCCCCAGCGTCAGCCAGCGGGAGCTGCGCATCGAGACCGTGGCGGCCTCCTCCACCCCCACACCCGTCCGCAAGCAGTCCAAGCGGCGCTCCAACATCTTCACGGTATGTGCCCTGCGCGCCGCCCTCCCGCCGGCCCGGCTGCTGGCACTGGCGAGGCAGGGCCCAGCCCCCAGCCGGGGGGG